CAGGCTTCAAGTTGCCAAGGTTGGAGACCCCTGGTTTAGGGTGTTTTCCAACCAATTTGTGCGGGGATTCTGCAGTGCACTCCCTTGAAGCAAAGGCAGTGATGTTAGTGCAATGAAACTCTAGTTTAGCTGAGTGAAAAACAGAAAGAGAGCAATGCTCAGTGCAACCTCAGCGGAAGTAATTTATTTCCTCCAGACTTCTGGATCAGCAATTGCCCCCTATAAATATTAATGTCTATTTTGGGCTTTGGATGTTTATTCATCACTCACATGGAGAAGTAATTGGATTCTATTTGGAGCTGAAAAAGTCAAGCTGGATTTTCCTAGTGTGAATCAGAAAGTTTGTTCCTTATAATGAGAATTGGGAAGTGGGGGAGGGAAGGAACTAATGGGAAATATTTCCTCTTCTCTCTCTTTTTTTATTCTTGAGGGAAAGAAGAGGCTGGTTCCCATTAGAGCCATAGATCTGTGAGTGAGCAGTAAAGGAGCCCTGTATGTCAGAGAAAAAAACTAGATAAAACCAATTATTCTATCCTGCCAGTTTTCTCTGTGAAGGCATTTCTTGCTACTGAATGGATAAATATTCCCTCTTATGAATATTTCCATTTACATTCCATATACATGTTTACAACTTCATGAAGAATTCATCATCTTCTCAAAAAAACATCTTGCATTTTCACCCCCCTCCAAAACCCCAAAATGCATATCCAGGTTCTACACAAAATACAGAAACTTGTTCTGATGAACAGAATAAATAAAATTTTAAAAAATTATCTTGACTTCTTATATGTTCTCTACTTAGAAGAAACAATGGATTTATTTGTAAAAATAAAGGATGCAAGTCAGGTTCTAAAATTTTTTACTACCGGTTCTGTGGGCATGGCTTATTTTATGGACGTGGTTGGATGGTCATATGACAATTCTTTAGGATTTAGCAGAGGTACTGGTCTACCAGGCTTTTAACTGCTTGCAGAGCCGTACTGGTCTACCCATTTGTTTTTGGAGCGTTCCAGTCCACCTATTTGTTTTTGGAGCGTTCCAGTCCACCTATTTGTTTTTGGAGTGTTCCAGTCTACCTATTTGTTTTTGGAGCGTTCCAGTCTACGTATTTGTTTTGGGAGTGCACTGGTCTACCACTACACTGCCTTTTACCGCTGATCAGCTGTAGGGTGGCCCTTTGAAGTGCCGTGGCAAGAGTTTAAACAGTTTTCTTCCTTCTAGCCGATCAGCTGGGACTCGGGAGGCAGCGAATAGATTGGGGGTGGGGCCAGGCAGAGGTGGTATTTACCGGTTCTCCGAACTACTCAAAATTTCCACTAGAGAACCGGTAGCAACCCACCACTGATGCAAGTGTTGTTCTATAACTCTGGGATTTCAAAATGTAATTGTTGGCTGTGTTCATATGAAATAACTTGCTAACTAATGTGCATAATGCATAGGTAGTCCTTGACTTACGATACTTCATTTAGTGACCGTTCAAAGTTACAACATCACTGAAAAAAGTGACTTATGACCCTTTTTCACACTTACAACCATTGCAGCATCCCCACATAATCATGTGATCAAAATCTGGGTGCTTGGCAACTGACTCATATTTATGACGGTTGCAGTGTCCTGGGATGATGTGATCACCTTTTGCAACTTTTTAACAAGCAAAGTCAATGGGGAAGCCAGATTCACTTAATAACTGTGTTACTAACTTAACAACTGCAGTGATTCACTTAACAACTGTGGCAAGAAAGGTCATAAAATGGGGCAAAATTCACTTAACAACTGTCTCACTTAGAAACATACACTTTGGGCTCTGTGGTCATAAGTTGAGGACCACCTTTATATGGTTTTAAATTTTTAATTTCTGTTTATCTTTTTATGATCTGTAAGCTGCCCAGAATCACCTTATCAGTGAGATAGATGACATATAAATTTAATACATAAATAATGATATCTTTATTACTAAACATGTCCAACCACCCTCCCAAGGGCTAATTTAGCCTTTATTTATATATTGGTGGGGCCAGGACAAAATTTAATTTTAATTTAAATGGCCTTATAAATTTAATTAAATACAGTTAGTGTGATTATTGTCCACAATTGTCCCTCTGTGTCTCTTTAAAAATGTGTTGTTTGGATCCTTTTCCATTTGTATACATACACAAATATATGGAAAGATAAAGATTCTCACTGGTTTACATGCCATTTCCCCCCAAAGCTGATCAAATATTGAAATTGGTTAGGCTCCAAAGGAAAGAGAAGTGGTCAACGCCTCTTTACTGGGATTGGCAGGGACATGTTTTCCCTATCTAAAGGAAGCCCATATAAAGCATGTGCCCTTCCTTAACCTGGGAGATCTGAGTAACTGCAAGCCAGTCTTAAAACATTTGATTTGATTTCTGTAAAGATAGGCAAAAAAATGGCAGCCCTATAGTTACAAATACTTTTAGGAGATGTGGGTGCCATTCAAACCTATTTCAATTAGGGTTTTGATATAGGACTCAGTTTGCTTTAATTACAGGGACGGGTAATTGGGAATTGGACAGAAGAAGTACAGCCAATTCTGGATCCCTTGATGGCTTTTGATTCCATAGATCATAATACCCTTGTAGATCATCCAATGCATCTGAAATGTCAAGGCAGCCATTCCTGCCTTTCCTTCTAAGCCATTTCTAAAAGGTGATGTTGGGTGAATACTATTTAATATCTTGAGTTATACTATCTCCCTAAAAGATATAGAAATATCTATTGTTCTGTATTCTGTTCAATATCTACGTGAATCTACTGGGGACAATCATTTGAAGATATGGAGGGGAAAGAGATTGTTAAACTGATGACATTCAAAACATAAATAATCTAGGTTATTCCTTTTCAAGACAGAGGTATAGTTAGTAAGTAAGAACCCAGATTTAGGGTTTTGATTTTATCCTGGGTTGAATGACTTATTTCTCCTGAAAAAGCAGGTCCTTGGTCTGGAGTACTGTGTGATTCTTGGCAGTCACTGGATTCCCTGGTGGCCAGTATAGAAAGGAGTGCATTTTTGCAATTATATCTAATATGCCAGCTGCGGCCACTCCTGAGTTAGTTGGATTTATTGACATTTTTGTTACATCTAATCTTGATTATTGCAATTTCTCTACATGGGGCTAGAAGACAAGTGTTTGCAAACACTGATTGATATAAGGTGTGGCAGCTAGACTGATAATCAGACCCTCCTACCAGGATCATATGAAGTTAAAGTAAAAATTTATATAGGTCGCCAATTATTTTCTGGCTGTAATTATGTGGTTGATATTGGAATTCTTAATGGCTTAGATCCTAAATCTCTGAGGGGCTTACTTTCTTATTACAAATCTTTGTTGAGATGTTAAAAGATTTGCAAGAGAGACTCTTCTCTTCAATACTCTGTGCTTTTGGAGGTGGGGGCCTTCTGTGCTTGACTCCTCTTATCCCTATCTTGGGAAGGTGGCCAAGATATATCTCTTCTGCCATTTGTTTTGTAATCTTTTATGTTATTTAGCTGTGGCTACTTGCTTTAGTATTCAGTGAATTGGTGGAATATAAAACATAATAGCAATAGCACTTAGACTTATATACCGCTTCACAGTGCTTTACAGCTCTAAATGGTTTACAGAGTCAGCATATTGCCCCCAACAATCTGGGTCCTCATTTTACAGACCTCAGAAGGATGGGAGGTTGAGTTAACTTTGAGCCGATGAGGATTGAACCCCTGGCAGTCAGCAAGATTAGCCTGCAATATTGCATTCTAACCACTGCACCAGCATGGCAACATATATATATAATACATAAATAGCAGAACCTATGTGCTGTAATGGTTAAGATAGTAAGGTAGAAACTGCAAGATTGGGAGTTCTAGTCCCATTTTAGGCATAAAGCCAGCTGGACCTAGGAGTAAAGCAAAGGCAAATCACTTCTGAAAATCTTGCCAAGAAAACTATAGGAATATTGCCAGGAGTAAAGAATAATTTGAAGTCACACAAATATAATATAAATAAATACCGTAAATGTACATTCAGTCTAGGAGCAACTTTAAATAAGTTTCTTAGGCTATACCCAAAGCTTGTAGGGACAACATGCAACCCTGGAGCCACAGGCTGTGCACCCATGTCCTATGTCTCAATCTCACACATGCCTTTCCCTAGCCATTCAACAGATCCACTGAAAGCAATAAATTTCCCTGGAGTCCTCCAGGTAAGATGGAACAAGAGCTCAGGGATTTCTTTGCCATCTCCTTTGTCTAATTTAGCCAAACCTATTAGGCAGATTGTGTGGCTTTCACGTTGCATATTTTCCCATGAAGTTTACGTTCCAGGGGGGGAAAAGATCCACTTTGATTTCCATATTATATACACACTTGAGTCATTTCAGGGATTTTGTTTCGGGGATCCAATCTGGGCTGGTCACTGGGACCAGTGGTTTTGTCTTCCGAGCTTTCAGACTCGTGCTGGAGCCCATCCTCAGGGAACTTCTCTGAGCATTTTGTTTCCACTTTGTGGTATATGGCTGATACATCTTCTTACATTTGGAAACATTGTGTACAAAAATCAGCTACATTCTTTAAATTATAGTATGCAATCGTAAACATATGTTTCATTGTGTGGACCGACATATTGGATTAAATCAGAGCTTTCCAGTGGAAGTGTCTCTTTATGTCTTCTGTTTTATAGTGTTCCTGCTATATAATAAATAAAGAGCTGTTTTATATTTTCCCCTCTAATATTAAGGGTCTACGCTGTAGTGTGCCTGCTGCTACACTAATCTAGTTTAAACATCAATCAACTCATCATTAAAAGACAGTGTGATGGTGGCTATTGCATGCAGTAACCATGCTTCTTAAATAACCAGAAGGTTGTATGAGACAAGTTTCATTCTCTTAAAAGCACATTGGTAATCAATAAGGAAAGAAATGGATTGACTGCCCTCATGTGGTGGCTTGCAGGCTGACAGCCTGAAATTACAGACAAAAGAGGCTTTGTCAAAACATGCATTTTTTGTTGAGAAACCATTGGAGACATTAGAAAGCAATGCAAATGTTGATTAACAACTTCTGCATTTCCTGAAAACATTGCCTGGTATGTATTGGCACTGCCTCTCTTCTTATTTCCCTGTTTCTAAAATGGATTTGCAAGAACCCTTCCCCAAAGGTGAGATATTGATGTGGTTGATGTGGAGACAGTTTCTATTTTTGTTCCAGGAATTCCAGGGAGATATCAAAAGTAAGGCCCTAGTCTGAAGCAATTGCTACTTTTTCATCCTAACTAACAATGAGGTGTGGGGGGGGGGAGATGCTGTATCTCTGGAACTCCTTGTTTCAGATTGATGGGAACACATGACATTTTGTTCATGCTCTCCAATACTGATCTAGTAAGGCATGTTTTATTTTATTTTTTTTAAATCTCTAATAGATGGGAACAGAAAGTCTTGCAAAGAAGCATCTCCTTGGCTGCGCCAGCTAACCTTCTGCTAAATCTTCAAGAGAAGCTGTTCAGAGCACAGCTGGTGAAGAGGCTACAAATCTGTATTTTCAGGCCTTGGGAAAGGACAATAGGTTCTGTGCTAACAATCATTTCCTTATTATTAACAACCCACTGCTTCGGTAAGTGCTCTGGCCTTTGTGTAGTATTTTATGTTTAATGTTTCAGCAAAGGTTTGGTACATGTATTGAGTTTCACTGCATTTGCATTAATATATTAGCTTTTGCTCTGTAAACATGAAACATTCCTCAATGCTTCTAAGAACCATATACTGTATATATCCTACCTTTGTCACTCTACTCCAGGGCTGTCAAACTCATGGCCTGCGGGCCGGATGCGTCATGCGCTGGCCACGCCCATGTCCAGTTTGGCGAAGGGGAAAAAAGTCACTATACGTGTGACGCTACTGTGACGATGTGCATTTGACACCCCTGCTCTCCTGCTATCTCAAGAACCTCATGTTACTCTGGCAATGTGTATACAACACACTAGACATTTTGGCCTAATATTTTGCATGGACATGGGTAAGAGGCCATATTAGAAACTACCTTGTAGTAATAAAGGTAGCAAAGCTCTAGCTGGTACACCACTTTTATTGCATCCACCAATAATTGTACAAAGCCCTGTTTAGGGTGACAGAGTCAATGTTGGGTAGAGGCAACCACTGGATCCTTTGCAAAGATGCTGTGAGGATGATTCTGGCTATCAGGTGGATAAACTGGAGCGGATCATTTCTGACTTATTAAGGTGCCTGACAAATTCCCCTATAGTTGGTCCATGCAGTGTGTTCTTGAGGAAGATGATGGTATCAGTGGCCTTGAAGGACCGTTGGTGCATCTCTTCCTCAAGATGCCATTCTTAGGCCCAGTTCTTTTAGACAACCATGGTTGTCTCCAATCTTCCTTCCCTTTTTAATCTGCAGTTAAGGAGATCTCTGGAAAAAAAGGATTCTCTAGACATGTTTCTGTTGGGGATCAGGCTAGGATTTAATAGGGAAGACAGCCTTGGTCATACTTGTTGATGACAGAATGATGCACCCATTCTTATGCTCCTGGATCTTTAGTGGCCTTTGATACTGTCAAACATGATATCTTTCTGGACTGTCTTCAGGGATAGGAATTGGTGGCACTGTAGTATACCAGTTCTCTTTCTTTCCTTTGCAGTTGGTTACAGTCAATACTTGAATGGAAAGGAGAGGTTGTGGCAGGCCTGAAGGCCCAATGTAGGGCCTCAGAGTCTTTTGTTGTTGTGGATGTTACTTGGAACCCTGACAGATTGTTTCCTGTGTGGAATGCTGCAGTGATCAACCATTTCTCCTCTCCTATTTAACATCTACAGTATATAAAACTGCTGGATGAAGTCATCCACCAGTTTGCAGTCAGGTATCATCAGGATGCTTGAATATAACTTTTATTAAGAATTTGGATTACAATAGTAAAAAATAATAATACAAACTAAACAGGGAAAGAGAAGAAAATAGGTAAAAAAGAATAAAAAGGGCAGGAAAAAAGAAACAGAAAAAGTGAAGAAATAATATAATAAAGAAAAAGGAATACTATATACTGTATGCCGAAGTTATTTCCAACCTTCATCAATTTAGTAACTCTTCACCCTCTATAAGGTTACATCCCATATCCCATCTCTTATCTATACACAAATTCATTAAACATCAAATTTTCAATTCTGGTGTCAGCAAAAAGTCTATGAAGGATTGCTAGAACTTTGCAAAAATAGTCTTATTTTAACCTTAATCAAATAAATCAATTTCGTATTCTTTCCTTTTACTTCTAACTTTTACTTCTAATGAGCCTTGGTGGTGCAGCTGACTAAAGTGCTGTTAAGTAGCACCAGCTGCCTGCAATTACTGCAAGTTCAAATCTCACCAGGCTCAAGGTTGACTCAGCCTTCCATTCTTTCGAGGTAGGTAAAATGAGGACCTGGATTGTGGGGGCAATAAGCTGACTTTGTATAAAAGAACATCACTTGGGGGTGGGGGGCGAAAGCCCTACTAAGCAGGTATATACAAAAGTATAAAGGCTATTGCTTAATGCATTGTAAGCCGCCCTGAGTCTCTGGAGAAGGGTGGCATATAAATCAAACCAATAAATAAATAAAAAATAAACAAACAAATAAATAATAGTTTTAATATTTAATTCAAACAAATATTGTCACAGGTTTTTATTTATTTTCTTCAATTCTTTATCCCATCACATCAACTTCATCAAGGCTTTAACAAGCCTCTTTTGTAGATTCAATTAAAATATTTTCTGAATCATTGAAACTTCTTCAACACCCTACTGGATATACAAAAGAAACTGGCTGAATTTTTAAGTTTTAAAAATTAAAAGGAAAATACAAATGCTGCATTTGCTGACTCTTATCATGGAGATGTTTTCATTTTGCCATACCTGCCAGGAAATGTCTCAGATATCATCAATATGTTGATAAAACTCAAGTATAGGTGACCTTCACTTACCTACAGTACCACAATCGGCAACTCCATTGCTGGCAACTCCATTGCTAAGTGACACAGCTCTTAACTGAAACTTCATGTGGTCATGACGGACTTATAGCCTCATTTCCATTGTGATTGTTAACCAATTTGCCTGTGATCATTAAGTGCAATGTCATGTGACTGTGACTTCCTGTTGGCTTGCCCGTTGATTTTGCTTGTTGGAAGATGGCTGTGCATCATGACTGTGGGGTGCTACAAACATCATAAATATACACCAGTTGCCAAGCACCTGAATCACGGTCACAGGACCATGGAGATGTTGCAATGGCCATAAGTTCAAGCACCAGACATAAACTTACTTTTTTAGTGCCTGTCAGCCTCCGCTCCCATATTGCTTGCTTGCTACGGCTGCCATTGTAACGGGGGGGGGGGGGGGCTGGCGGGGTATTTGGGGGGGGGGAAGCCCTGGTAGCACAGCAGACTAAAGCACTGTTATTAACATCAGCTGCCTGCAATTACTGCAAGTTCAAATCTCACCAGGCTCAAGATTGACTCAGCCTTTCTAAGGTAGGTAAAATGAGGACCCAGATTGTGGGGGCAATCAGCTGACTTTGTATAAATATACAAAAGTATGAAGGCTATTGCTTAACGCATTGTAAGCTGCCCTGAGTCTTCAGAGAAGGGCGACATATAAATAAATAAATAAATAAATAAAAAAGCTGGTGGAGATGTTTCGTAACAGGGAGTGAATTGGAGAAAATTTTCCTCAACGCTTTCTCTGCAGCTGGAAGGAGTGCTGATAACCAGTCAAAGTCAACTGTCCTGGCATACCAGAAGGATGGAGCCATCGGAAGCTGCACCCCACATGACACCTTGGGGGGATGTGGATTTGTCAATCCTGACTGGTCCCTTGGGGGGAATGTTTTGGGGATGCTTTCTGTATGTGATTTTCTCGCCTATAGCCTCAGACCTTGCTTTTCTTTGGTTGCATTCACTTCATACTCAGTAAAAGTACCTTTCTCTACAAAAATGGAGTTGGGGTTTTTCTTTCTTGAGTACTGAAAGGAGGCATACCTGACAGTGCCATTATAAGTCTGAATGGTCATTGAACAAGACAGTCATCAACCAAGGACTACATGTATATAAAGTATGCCTGTAGAAATGCCTGGACACTGCAGGACTGGAGAGTTCCCTTTACTCCTGAATGGGGTTGCACTTTCTTAATCAAGTATACAGATTTTCTTGGGCTCTTGGCTCCTGCTAGAAGAGCATGGGCTATCCTTGAAGAGGACTCGAGTGTTCAACTAGTCCAAAATACAGTGGCAAAAGCAGTGATAGGTTTTCCTTGGCATGCCTTCATGGCCCCTTGCTACATTTGCCATCCTGGTTGCCAATATGCTTCTGGGTGTGATTCAAAGTGCTATACATAACACAGGACCCAGATATTTAAAGGATTTCTGTGGTTTTTGTCTATCTGGTATGATTTGGCAGAATGGGTACATTCTGAGTCCCCTCAATTGAAGCCAAATTTTGGGAACTAAGAAGCACATCTTGTCTGTAGTAGCATCTACCCTCTGGGATGAGGTCTCCCACAAGGTTACTACAGTTCTCACCCCGATTATGTTGCAGAAACCCAACTATTTCCCCAGGCCTTGGGATAGGGTGTATGGGACTCCTCTGTTTGTGATGTTTATATTTCCTTTGGTATTTCAATTGCCATCTCATTGGTTTGTAGATACTGTTGAATCATTCTGGTAATTTTTTGTATTTCTGTTGCTTTATGTTATTCCAGTGTTGTAAGCCACCCAGAATTTGTTAGAGGTGGGCAGCCTCCAAATCAGTAAATAAATTATAAATATTCAAGTTTTGAAAATGGAGAAAAAAAGCCACACCAGGTCTGGAGCTCCAGCCTTGCACATTGTGAAGCTTTTGCTGCAGTATTTGAACTGCACTGCTGCATAACCAAAATAAAACTGGCTCAGTTGATATTGTTTATCTGTTTGTTAGATTTCTATCTTGTCTTTCATTTAGAAGTTCAAGGCAGTTTTCATGAGATCTCATTTCACAACAATTCAGTAAGATAGGTTGGGCTGAAAAGAGTATATGGCCCAAAGTTACTCAATGAGGTACACACATTTCCTATATTAAGGGGAAGCTAATTGGAGTCAGTTATTAACAAGTGTTGCTTTCCATACTTGATCTCAAAGACATGCTAAAGTTTTTTAATGTTCTTACTTTCACAACAAATTTAAGTGAAACCTAGGTTACAGCAGGAAGATTCCACCAAGATGCTGCTACTGCAAGAATCATAGAAGAGTTTTAGGGGGAAATTGTGAAATTAAGAGGAAAAATATACAGTATTATCTTGGGTGATGTGGGACAAAATGAGAGAATACAGAAAAGGTGATTGGGCTACTCAGATTCAATGAATGGCAATGATGACTGATGAGTATTTGCCTAGAAGACATTCTAAAATTGTTTTAAGAATTTATTCATAGGTGAATATGGCAATGGAGTAAAATAATTCTAAAAAGATTAACTTGATTCTCTTTTATGATAGGGAGAGAGAATTAGCGATGGATAAATGGTTCATGAAAAGTTCTGAATGTAGGACAGATAATTTTTTGTAGTGTCAAGAGTGGATTTTGGGAAGAAAAAGCTAGAAGTGAAAGAAAGAGTGTAGATTGAATGATTTCAGGAAAGTCAAGAAAAAAATTAGAAGCCAGAATATCTCAATAGACTGAATGGAAAATTGAGATAAAGAAAGAGGATGTGGAACAGAGTGAAAAGAATGTTACATATTGAATGGTGAACAGGTTTAAACATTTCGTTTTCATTTCCAACATTTATCTATCCATCCATTCATTTATTCAGTAATTATTCAGTTCAGTAATTCTGACATCTTTTCTGTGTTTAGCATAAAACTGAATATCCAAAAAGCTGAATTTCCAAAAGGCTATAAGATTATGGAAGGAAGGAAGGGAGGATTCCCATTGCTTTCTCCCTTCTTTACTGTGTACTTAAGTAATAAGAGCTATTATTGGGGTCCACAGTTTTATCCTGCAAAGTTGTGTAGTGAACCCCAAAGAACCTTTTGATAGTATAGCTGCACAGTAACATACTCAGATACATCACCTTTCTATTTCATACTTCTCTTTCAATTAGGCCAGTATATTATTATGCACTATAAACTGTACACACCTTTCATTTGCGCATGCCTATTCAGAAATGAAAGAGGATATATGGAAATAAATGAAATAACAAAAGATCAATACAGTAATTTCTTTTTTAAAAAATATCTCCCAAATCAGAGCTTTTTTCTTAGAAATACTTATTGAATGTTACCAATATGCTTTCAAAAAGTAGTTAGGGAAAATATTACTGCAACACGTAAAATTAAAGCATGAGCACATATTTCTGCATCAATTGCACGTGCACACGCATATATATATATATATCTTTCAAATAGCATCGTTTTCCAGATGCTGGAAAGATTGGAGTCTGTTCAGCTTCCCCCTTTGCCCCGAACGAAGAGAACAAGAACGCTCAGTTGTCTGGAAAGATTCCACTCCTCCATCACTCTGCACTGAATACCGTGAAGAAAGTTCGGCCTTAAATTCTAAAATGGAACTTTTCTTCATTCTTAACAGTTAGGCGATTTTTTTAGCTTGGAGACACGGACGACCTTTCATCGACAGCCCTCCAGAGCAGGGGTCTCCAACCTCGGCAACTTTAAGACTTGTGGACTTCAACTCCCAGAATTCCTCAGCCAGCTTTGCAAAAAAAGAAAGCTGGCTGAGGAATTCTGGGAGTTGAAGTCCACAAGTCTTAAAGTTGCCGAGGTTGGAGACCCCTGCTTCACCGGCAGAGCGGCTGCCACGAGTTAAGATGTCTCGGGGGGGGGGACACAAAAAAATCGGCACCAAGAGCGTCTCCTCGGGCGTGATGCTCTATCATTTGCGTAGCTCTCTGTGTTTTTTTTTTCTCCTTCCCGCATGCGCGGGAGTTGGTCTCGGAGGGGGGGGAAAGGCATCCGCGTGGGATGCGGGGCGTGGCTTCGTCCCTGGGCGGGAGCCGCTGTTGGCTAGTGGCCGCGCGCTTCCTCGGAGGGGGCGGGGCGGAGCCCGTGAGATGAGGCTGCGGGCCGGGTGGGAGCGTGGGCGCCATGGCATCGCTCTTCCCGGTGAAAGGCGTAAGGAGAGCGGGCAGAGGAGACGACTGCAGCTCGGGAGAAGAGGAGAGGGCGGCCGGGGCCGTGATGGTGGTGGGAGGGCTGGGGGAGTCTCCAGGCCCCGGTTCCGATTCGGACAGCCGCTCGTCCTCCCCGCTGAACTGCCTGAGCGAGCAGTTCGAGAGGGCGGTGCAGCGCGTCCCGACCCTGGTGGCCGCCGCCGGCAAGGATCAGCTCCTCTACTTGTACGCGCGCTATAAGCAGGTGAGGCTGCAGCGCCGGGGTCCCGAATTGCTTGGGTGGACCAGGAAGGAGCCGCTTCTGGGTGCTTCTGGGAAGCCTGCAAACGGGGGACGGAACACTTAACAGTAACAGAGTTGGAAGGGACCTTGGAGGTCGTCTAGTCCAACCCCCTGCTCACGCAGGAGACCTGTACTAGGGATTCGAACTGCCGGCCTTTCTCATCGACAAGCTCAGGGTCTTAGCCACTGAGCCACCTAGTCAGCCTTCCCCCTTTTGTCCCGTCCCCCCCACCCCACTTTAAAGGGTTACCGAAAGGTAGACTGCTGCTGAAGATGGGAGGAGGTCCTATCCGACTCTCGCTGGCGGATGGTGGAGGCGGCTGTGTGTATGTGTGTGTCATTGTGTGTAAGATATTGCGTGATCGGTCTCCTCTTCGAGTGAGTCCCCGCAGTTGTTTTTGCGAGGCTTTTTCGGACGTGATTTGCCGTCGCTTTCGTCCTGGGGGCTGAGAAGGGAGGGTCCGCTCAAGGTCATCCAGCTGCTGGCTTCAGCTCCAACCCAAGTGGATCTCACGATTCTAGCCCGATGCCTTCACCGTGCACGAAGCTGGTTTTCGCTCAAGTCTAAAGGGTGTGTGGATAACTTCTCCGTGAATAAGGACCAATAGCAGGCGGGCTCTACGAAGCCAGTGTTTACATTAAGACACGAAAAAAACCTGTTGCCACAACACGGAATTTTTCGTTTTTGTGTGTCAGATAAGGAGGAACCCAAGACTGTTTGCAGAATGCAGGTATCTGCTTAATTATGGTTTACTCAATACCTATATGGCTTTGCACAATTTAAGCTGATTTATGATTCGGTGTATTGAGCAAGCAAAACACCTAGATCTAGGAACCAAGAGTTGGAGCAGGAGGAGGTAAGGAACTGGATATGTATCTGTTTCAGCATATCTATTTAATAAAGTTAGAGGCAAAAGAGTGTGTGGGTAGGGTCTTCTACCCCTCTCTAGGGAAAAAGAAATAATACCCATCAGATTTTCAGGATTTTTATAGCTAGAATACAGAACTTTTGGAAAGGGCAAAATCACATCCACAAAGTTGCAAATAGTGTTCTGATGCCTCTGACAGTGGTTCAGCAGCAGACTGGTTTCTCTTAAAAGTCTCCGTTCCTTAATAGAAACACATTACAATACTTGCTTCAGCGAATAGTTTAGTAACCACATTGTCAAAACACCAGGAACATCTTGTTTGGCAACTGCATTGACAAACAACGAGGATGCAACTGACTCATGAATTATTTATGATTGAAGTGTAGTTTTGCATCCCAAGGTTTGTGTACATCACTTGCTAAATGTTGCTTTAATTGGCTCCATTAATATGTGAAGCTATAAACTATGGTTTATAAGAACACAGGGATTGATTTAGCACACCACACCACTTCAAATCACAAGCTCTTTTCAGTTTTGAACATATTGAACATGTGGTGTATATGCAAGCTTGAGGTATTGAAATTTGTTTAGAATCTATATAATTTAAAAACTTACCTTTCTTGAAATCTGGATGGCATTGTGTTTTACCTATTAGCAGGTAGCACAATCCTCTTCCTCTCTCCCCATGTTCTAAAGCAACTGGTAGCCCTTAAAGTTAATTCAGATTATAGTCCTTCATTGAAAATTCTGCTTATTTATAATTCCATGTACTCTGTAAATCTTTAAACAGTTAAGACTGTACTTCCCCAGCACTTGGGTCAGAATGAGTAAAGTTCCAAGTTGGTGAATTAAATATATTTTAGCCTGGATGAACATGTAATTGTTTTAGTTTGCCTGGTGGTATGCATGATTTTTTTTTACCACCCAGAATCTCATTGTTTGAGTTAGCCAGCCACCTAAATATTATAAATGAAAAAATAAATTCTCAGAGGCTGGAGCAGACCAGCTCTTATACATATGTTTTCATTGTTCAAGACATTTTTCAGTATTTCATTTCCAGCTGAAAGTGCAAAAAGATTTCAATAGACTGAAAACTGTGATATCGTACTGAATCTTGGATATACCATTTCTTCTGAGTAAATTATCAGTTGGTATTGAAATTACTAAGTGCTTTTTATGTATACATTTCTTAATTTCAGAGGAGCATTCTAAATACGCATGCTTTGACCGTATAGAGTCTGCCTGTCAGGAGAGGATTTAACAGAATAACAATTGGAAGGCACCTTGGAGGTCTTCTAATCCAACCCCTTGCTCAAGTAGGAGACCCTATACCATTCTGGACAAATAGTTGTCCAGTCTCTTCTTAAAAGCCTCCAGTGATGGAGCACTCACAACTTCTGAAGGCAAGCTGTTCCACTGGTTGATTGCTCTTACCATTAGGAAATTTCTCCTTAGTTCTAGGTTGCTTTTCTCCTTAGTTAATTTCTGTCCATTGTTTCTTGTCTTGCCTTCTGGTGCTTAGGAAAATAGGTTGGCCCCACTCTTATTATAAAGTAAATATAAAATATTTATATCAAATATAAGGTAAGGTAAGAGACATTACTGAAACTTCTTTGTGAAGTTTAAGGGATATAGACTAGACAACAAACAGACTCAGTGCCTCCTTTATATATTATATTTTATGTATTTTGTTTTGTGCTGTATGTCTTACTGTACTGCTACCTACCCAGAATCTGTTAGGACTGGGGTGGGATATAAATATAAATAAATCACATTGACATAAAAAAATGGGTTGGAAACTGGGTGGAAGTTGTCAAACACAGCTCTGTTCAGGAGTTGCCTCTTCAAGAGGGAGCTCCCTTCCAAACAGACAGCATTACCCCACCTTTCAAAGATGCATTAATTATTTCCTGGAGATTGCTATTCCCACCCCATCTAAGTCACCTGAAAAATCCATGATGGATGTTTATCCAAGGTGTAGTCCACAGGTGAATAGCTTAAACTACAAAGAACTTTTAGTGTAGCTACTCAGGTTCCTCAAAAGAAACTATTATTTTATCACCATGGACTCTATCCATTTAGCATAAAGCTCAGTCTGGATATGAACAACTTTATCTGAGAAGAAACTCTCAAACTCCTACAGGCATTCTGCTCGTCTGCCCAAAAAGAGTCTGGGGAACCCAAGCAGGGCTGCTGGGTTAGGTGTAATAAACATGGAAGAAAATGTCATTTTTTCATTTAGCTGTTTTACGGCACAAAACCTCTGTGCCTCAAGTGTATGAGGTTGCTATTAATATAAAAGAAAAGTTTTAGCAATAAGATTTAGCTTCTGCCCATGTGGTGCAGTCGTCTTCAACTTGTGACAAGTAATCTGTGGTGATTCTAAGCCAGGGATCCCCAACCCCTGGTCTGTGGACCGGCACCAGGCTGCAGCATGCCAGCAACCAGGCCTCACAAACAAGCAAAGCCCCATCCACAGGATGCAGGGAGCATGCATGTCCCTGCATCCTGGAAAAACTTTTCTCAATGGAAAAGCTTTTCTCAATGGAACCGGTCCCTGATGCCCAGAAGGTTGGGATCACTGTTCTAAGCTATGTAGAATACTTACCAATATTCAGATGTTGTGACTAGATCTCTCTCAGTACAATCTGTAGTGGAACAATTATAGGAAACCAAAACAATGGAAGAGTTCTAAACTGTTTTGTTTATTAAGCTAGGAAAAGAATGCAATGATCATTGGACTCCCAGCAAGCAAAGCTAAGAGCCCTGATATTGTATTAACATGGTACTTATATAGGTTACACCAAATTCTAAGAAGCATAGGCTAATTGGATTATTAGTTTAGAATCATCTAAATAAGGTACTAGAGCAGGGGCTCTTAAACCTTTTACCATCGCACGTCTCTTTAATGGAATTTTATTGCACATACCTCTCCCAAAAATCCAAACACCAAAATGAGCACTGGTAAAAATATAGTGAAAACTTTGCTTTTTTATTTTTTATGTCTTTATTAAAAATAAAGTTTGGTACTTGTCCACCGCCACATTACTCACTTGAAACTAGTATGTTAGGAAAGGTGGATTTACAGTATCCTAATAATATACAACTAAAAAGTTCTTCACACCTTCCTGAACTCTTGTCTGCACCTCTCCAAGGGAGGTACATCTCATCTCAACCCTGAACAAGGAGATGACACAAATTGTAGGTGGGGTTGCCTACTTGTCCAGAAGCAAGAGATCACCACACTAACAAAGACATGGTCACCAAGTAAATTACTCTTCCTCAGTACTGTGACAATATGATTCTTATTATTATCTTCCCTTTGAATTTATTATCTTCCCTTTGAGTAAATCAGCATAGCTTGAGGACATCTAGTTTAGGTATCAAAGCTTCCTTTAGATACAGGGAGGATGTTAAATAATGAAGTATATTCGCCTTGTCAGATGTGTAAGGTGTGTAAGGCAGTTTGACCTTGCTTATACATGAGGTAAGAAGAACGCTATGTTGCAAATTAAGGAATTCTCTATGGCAGTGGTCCCCAACCTTTTTATCGCCGCGGACCAATCAGCCTTTGATAATTTTACCGTGGCCCGCTGAGCGCGCGCAGGGGTGGGGGCTTTGGGCCACACGTGCGTACCTGCGCGGGGCTCTCTTCCCTGGAGCCTTTGCGCACGGCCCAGGAGCTTTTGCGCACGGCCCAGGAGCTTTTGCGCACGGCCCAGGAGCCTTTGCGCTGCAGCGTTCATGTCCCCCGGCCGCTGCGCGGCCCGGTGCCAGGTACTCCACGGCCCGGCACCGGTCCGCGGACCGGGGGTTGGGGACCACTGCTCTATGGCATATCCAATTATCACAGCATTCTGAGTTGCAACTCATTTGGTGTGCACTTTTAGATTCACCCAGTTTTGTTATGTAATACTTAAGAGTTTAGAACTCATTAAAGGAAGTTTGGTATTCACAGGCAGGATCTTGCTGAGTAGAAAAAAATGGGAAGAAGCTTTGTTTTCACCACCATCATGTCCAGCTGTGAATTTTCAGACATCTGATCAGGGCCGTGATTGACTTTATGGGTTTGATTTGTTTTTTTTTTAAAGCAGTTCTTATGTTTTTAGGGCAAAAGAAAAATCTTATTTTTGTTGTTAGATAAATCATGTCAACTACCATAACAATATTTATTGTTTTAACATTCTGCATGTACTCTAACGTTATCCCCATATTGCCTTTCCTTTAGGTCAAATGTGGTCACTGCAACATTCCCAAACCTGGATTTTTTGATTTTGAAGGCAAGCAGAAATGGTATGTGAAATTAGATAATGGTTTCTCAATACTTCTGAGTTTTTCCTCCAATTCCTAAAATTTCCCTCATCTGGCAAATATCCCACTCTATGCTAGTCACACAAATGTAATGTTTTTCTCTATCCATATTAATAGATGGCAGGAAGAATATAAGATATTGATTCACATCTCTGTAGCGGCAAACTGTAATAGCAATAGCACTTATATCACTTCACAGTGCTTTACAGCCCTCTCTAAACAGTTTACAGAGTCAGCCTAGTGCCCCAACAATCTGGGTCCTCATTTTACCGACCTCGGAAGGATGGAAGGCTGAGTCAACTTTGCTCCCTGCTATGATCAAACTCCTGGCCTGTGGGCAGAATTAGCCTGCAATACTGCATTCTAACCACCGCACCACCACGGCTCAGTAATAACAAATAACAAATGGACAAATAGTAACAAACAGTAATATCAAATGAACAAATGTAAGTAACAAATGGACGAGAGAAATTAGTCCTGAAGATTAGTCATGGCAAGATGCATTAGATGTGCCAACCATTCACCTAGTCTGCTGATTTTTTCAAAAACCTGGCTGAATAGGAAGGATAGCATCCTTGAAGAGTCATGTCATGTTTGCCTTGATTGTTTCTCAGAGAAGGAGAGGTCAGGGAGGAGAACGAGAATCGGATTGCATTTTATGATTGAAGACTTGGATCAGATAATGGAACCGGTCCCTTTGATATCTTCAAATTTTGTAGCACCAGTCTGACTGATCCACAATGCCTCTAAGTTCTAAGTGTCACCATTGTCAATTGGAGAAACAGAAGGTTGAAGGGTTGGAGACCAGCAGCTCCTAGGGTTAGACTTCCTGGGAAAAATGACCTATTTGGGAACAAAAAACCACAGTGACAACTAGCTGAGTACAGAAAGGACTGGCTTCTGGAAACATAATAATAATAATAATAATAATAATAATAATAATAATAATAATAATTTTATTTCTATACCGCCCTTCTCCCGAAGGACTCAGGGCAGTGTACAGCCTGTTTAAAAACACAAACAAAACAACAATATAAAATTTAAAATAATTAAATAAAGTGGCTCAGATTTAAAACCCCAATAAATTTAAATATCCCAATTTAAAAACTATTGTGTTGTTAGTCCGGCCTGGCGGAATAATAGGGTCTTCAGTGCGCAGCGAAACACCCGGAGGTCGGAGATCTTACGAATTTCCGGGGGCAGTTCGTTCCACAGGGATGGGGCTCCCACAGAGAAGGCCCTCCCCCTGGGCGCCGCCAGTCGACATAACTTGGTTGACGGCACCCTGAGGAGACCCTCCCTGTGGGAACGGACTGGTCGGTGGGAGGCTATTGGTGGCAGAAGACGGTCTCGGAGTAAGAGAATTATAAGGCAGTGTCTGAGATTGAGGCAGTTATCAAAAACAACTTTTTGTTTTTTGCAAACTAAATCTAAGACAAACATCACAACCTACCCCAAGTATAACACTTCTCTCCATCAGAGGTGTTTCAGAGTCTGTTAACAGGTTATTCCAGCCATTTGGAATAACTGTAGTGCCCGGACAAAATACTGGAAATACAAAGAATCATTACCAAAAGAAGACAAAACTGGATAATAACATGGAAAGACTGAACATCAGTACATAGAACAAACAAGCAGAATATTAGCAGAATGTATCCATGAACGCCAACTAGCAGTCAAAAGACACAATGCTACACTATTCATTTCTTTCCACAATCAAGGGCATAGCTTCAACTAGGAAACTTATTTTAAAGTGGACCAGACTGGAAAATGCAAGAGAATTTTAGAAACATGGCACAATGAAAAGACTATTAATTTATTTTTAAAAATTTACAAATTATCCATCTTTGGTTATAACTTGATAGATATTGGTAGGCCCAAACTGATGGCTGTTCATTCAGCAGCTATTCAGCCTCAGCCTGAAGTTACAGCTGTTGCAGTGCCCGTTGGGTGCTTGGCAGCACATACATCCTTACAACTGTAAATGTGCTGCAACTCCTCTCCACCCACTCTGTCTCCTCCCATCTCAGCCACTCTCTTAGCCAACCAGTAGAATAGAATAGAATAGAATAGAATAGAATAGAATAGAATAGAATAATAGAATTTTTTATTGGCCAAGTGTGATTGGACACAGAAGGAATTTGTCTTGCTGCATATTCTCTCAGTGTACATAAAAGAAAAGATACATTGATAGTCATAGAGTACAAATAAGCAATCAGGAAACTATATCAATATAAACCAAATCAATATAAAGACTACAAGCTACAAAATTATAGTCATACAGTCATAAGTAGAAGGAGATGGGTGGTGGGAACGATGAGAAGATTAATAGTAGTGCAAACTTAGTAAATAGTGTTGACAGTGTGGAGGGAATTATTTGTTTAGCAGAGTGATGGCGTTCGGGGGAAAAATGTTCTTGTGTCTAGTTGTTCTGGTGTGCAGTGTTCTATAGCGTTGTTTGGAGGGTAGGAGTTGAAACAGTTTATGTCCAGGATGCAAGGGGTCTGTAAATATTTTCACAGCCCTCTTTTTGACTTGTGCAGTATACAGGTCCTCAATGGAAGGCAGGTTGGTAGTAATTGTTTTTTCTGCAGTTCTAATTATCCTCTGAAGTCTGTGTCTCTCTTGTTGGGTTGCAGAGCCAAACCAGACAGTTATAGAAGTGCAGATGATAGACTCAATAATTCCTCTGTAGAACTGTATTAGCAGCTCCTTGGGCAGTACACGCAAAACTGCTACGGCCCTAAAGATCTTAGCCTGTTCCCTGGCTATTTTTGTCGACCCATTGTACATAGGAGTCCCTGGCCTACTTGCCCCACTCTGCCTGGCTTCACTTACATTTACTTTTTTCTGCAGCTTCAGAACAATCATCTTTGCTAGCTTCCTGGCCAGAAAAGAGCCTTTCTAGCCTTCAGAATAATCATTTTCGCTAGTGGGTGGACAGAGGGCCTAGAAGGGTGATGAGGTGGGGAGAAGGCTGTGCCTCTCAGTCATGGTGGAGTGGGGAGAAGATTCAGCCTCCTGGGCTGTGACAGGATTCCCCATGCCAGTGAGTACCAGGTCTCCAGGGCCTTTTCCACCATCTGAGACACCCCCACACAATTGCTCAATAATCCATATGAATGGTTAATGAACATAACTGGGAGAGTTGGATTGTAGTTGATGAGCAAAGCAATCGTGAGTATCTCATTTAATGACTGAGATTTAGTTATTTAGAACTGCCTAGATTTTATATGCATATATGAGTTCGCTAATGTAGTGTATAAAACTGACCTTGGGTAATAAATTGTATAGAAATATACATATACATTAACTTCTACTAAATAATGGTTCTTCTACTATGTATGTCTTAGGGAAGCTTGGAAAGCATTGGGTGACACAAGTCTTGAGCAGGCAATGGGAGAGTACATTGATGCTGTGAAAAAATTGGACCCTACATGGAATCCACAGGTATGTTAAACAAGTTACAGATGTCAACAATGAGGAATCTGTGGCCTCCAGAGGATGTTGGTCTATATCTCCTATTATTCTTTACTGTTAGGCATGTTGGATGTGCTAGAAGCTACATCAAAAAAACATAGTCATCCTTCACTTGATGTGTATGAATAAACCTATGGGGCTTCTTAGTTTTGTAAGTCTAATGGACATTGTGATAGTTTAAATAAATGAATTACTTCTTTATATATGTAATGTTAGGTGACTATTGTTTCTCCAGAGTTTTATGCTTTGTTAATACGCACCAAACCAGCTAGACATTTGTCAGAATATACTGTGATTTAACAAAAGTTCAATGGATGCCTTATTTTTGTGCCTTAAAAACTGAAATGGATTTTATTGCACCAGAAGATTGCAATATAGACATTTTTGTTTGACAGATTGCACTTGAGAATTCTTGGTCTCATAATCACTAGCTTAAAGCTAACTGAAGAATTATAGCCTTGGAAGTTAGGTAGTTAAGAAGTGCAACATTAATTAGTTCTGATGAGTAATTCCTTGGAGGAATATTTTTATTTAGTGGTTGAATTTTAAAAGTTTATTTCCTTCAGGTACAGTGCTCCTCTCCAACTTTTTCCTTCCATATTGCTAGAATTGAGGAGACCCTGGTTTTCTGCCTTGTTTGATTGCAGAGGGAAATGCTAACCTACTAACTGTCATATATTTCATATTGTCCCTTTTAGGATTTTCTAACAATTATATCAATATTATACTGTAAAGGAAATTAATAATTTTATATTTCTCTCTATTCAAAATGAATATGCAGAACCCTTCAAAGCATCTGACTTAAAACAGGCAACCAGGTGTTATTTCTTTTTGATTCATCTCTCCATGTCTTAATTAAGAGATCAAAGCCCTTCAGTTTGGAGGTGTGTTTGTCAAAGATAAAATATAGGAAGTCACTCCCAAAGGGTTAGAGGAAGCAGAATTATGCATAACTTCTTTCACCAGCAGGAAAAAAGCCCAGAATATTATTTCAAGTCCCTTTCCGTCTGCCCAAATAAATTTCTCCTTGCCCTGCCTTTGGAAAAGGTTTTTCTGCCCTGTAGAAAAAGTGGACTAAAAATAGAAAAAGTAGAATAGGAAATTGATGGTTGAGGGCACATTTGAATATTTGGGGGGGGGACTGCTTAAGATAATTGGTGCCATTTTGTTGTAATTTGGGCAATAAATTTGCATATTAACTTGTTCCAAGAAATTTGGAAAACTAAAGTCTGCAATATATTTAATCATCCTATTAAATTATTAGTTGTTGCAAATACAACTGTTATTAGTTAGCCTAATATCCCTTTGTGACATTTTCTGAAGTTACAAATGAAATAATTTGAAAATGGTATATGTCTTAAGATTTATAGTTCAGTGTTGACAGTAGTGATCGTAGCTAATGGAACTTGGTAACCAGAGGCTTTTAAATGATTTCTTAGAAATTTTTTCAACGTTTTATTGTAGCTAGTCCATGCAGTTGCCACAAGAGGGAGCTCTGATGCTAATAGTGAAGGAAAGTTAATTTATAGGGTAATATGGTGGCTTTTTCAATGCAAAGTACTAATCAGGCTGCTGAAAGGTTATGTGGCCAACTAAATTATATAAATGGAATATTACTTCCTTTCTTTTATTCATCCTTCTATTGAGGATATAATTGCTCTTTTAATCAGGCCAAAGATCTTTCTAGTTCAGAGTCTGATTTCCAAAGCAGCTAGACATCTCCTGGAAGCTCATAAAAATTGTGTGAAAATTGTAGCCTTTCCTTATGTAACCTCAGATTTGGATTTACAGCAGATATACGTTGTTTCATCACTCCTTCATGGTTTTTTATTTTTATTTTTTTAGTGCCTTGCTTTAGAGCTTTTAGAGATAACTCCTAGAAATGTAATATAAATAAGTTTAAGTGCTTCTAGTCCTCGGGAACAAATATGAGACATTGTGCTTGAAGATAAGGTGAGGAGAACATTGAAAGTAGCTCGTGTGCTCCTCAAAAAGCAGGCTTGAAAAAAACCCAAAGTGTTTACCAAAGTTTACCTACTTCAGGAATGAAATAGGTCTACTGTAGATGCATATATTTGTTCTCAGAAAATATTTCTTTTATAAAATGCCCTCCAGAGGGCAGTACAAGCCAGCCATTGTTGGGAAGTATTAAGAACTAGTGTCTCTTACCATTGAAATGTTTGAGATTTGACAGATAAATCATTTCATAATTTGCTTGCACTTCAGGTGTGATACAGAAAAAAGTAGTTTTTATCATCTGGATGGCTTTCCTTATGAAAACACTGATAAAATGTGTTGCGTTTTATAGCAATGTAACTATGAGACCTGGTCACAGAGCACAGGGGTTCTCAAACATTTTTGTCTCAGGACCCTTTTACATTCTTTAAAATGATTGAAGACCCTGGAAAGCAGAGGTGAAATCCAGCAGGTTCTGACAGGATCTGGAGAACCAGTAGCGGAAATTTTGAGCAGTTCGGAGAACCAGCAAATACCACCTCTGGCTGGCCCCAGAGTGGGGTGGGAATGGAGATTTTGCAATATCCTTCCCCCAGGAGTGGGGAGGGAATGGGGATTTTGCAGTATCTTCCCGTGGAGTGGGGTGAGAATGGAGATTTTGCAATATCCTTCCCCTGCCACACCCAAAAAGCTATGCCCACAGAACCGGTAATAAAAAAATTTGGATTTCACCACTGCTGGAAAGTTACGGTTTGTGTAGACTATAACAATATTTACTGTATTAGAAATTAAAACTGAGTACAGTAATTTTAAAATATGACTCCATGTAACGTGTGAAAGGGGCTGCCCAGTCCGCACGTTTCAGAACCATTGATGTAGCAATTAGAATGGACTCAATTCATTTTAGTGGCTCACAGTGTTTCTCAAGTAAATCCCTAGTCCAAGATATCACATCTTTGCTTCCTTAAAAGTAGTTTTACTACCACATACTGTGGTGTTGTCATAAAATTAACAGTTCCTTACCTTTACTAAGAAAATAATTTCTCATTAATTCTATCTTATAAAACTTTTTAAAAAATAATATAACATATTACAGATAATCCTCAACTTAAAGCCATTCATTTAGTGACTGTTCAAAGTAGAAGAGCCTGTAATACAGTGGACTAAAGCACTGTTATTAACAGATTAACATCTGCTGCTTGCAATTACTGCAAGTTCAAATCTCACCAGGCTCAAGGTTGACTCAGCCTTCCATCCTTTCAAAGGTAGGTGAAATGAGGACCCAGATTGTGGGGGCAATAAGCTGACTTTGTATAAATATACAAAAGTATGAAGGCTATTGCTTAACGCATTGTAAGCCGCCCTGAACCTCCGGAGAAGGGCGGCATATAAATTAAAGCCAAAAAAAAAAAAAAAAGTTACAACACCACAGAAAAAGTGGTGTAACTTATGACCAGTTTTCACACTTAAGACAATTGCAGCATCCCCATAGTCACATGATAAAAATTTGGGCACTTGGCAACTGGCATACACTACCCCAGGTCCTGTGATCACCACTTGTAACTTCCCAGCCAGTTTTGGGTAAGGAAAGTCAGATTCACATAATGACTACATTATTCACTGAACAATTGATTTGCTTAACTGTGGCAAAAAAGGTTGCAAAATGGGGCACAACTCACTTAACAACTCTCTTGCTTAGCAATTAAAATTTTGGGCTCCATTGTGGTCGTAAGATGAACATTATCTGTAAACCTAATCAACCCAGTTTAACTAAATTGAAAATTATGGTATTATAATAGTTTCACCTTTATTGCCAATTGCAGCATTCCACAGTCACAACTGCAATTTATGATTATTATTATTTTTTGCCAGTTTGCAGGAAAATACGCCCATGTAATATATTGATTTGGTTAACAATTGTGGCATTCGCTTAATGACTAGGTGTTCGCTTAATAATCACCAGTTATTGTCAAGAATAGACTCCACTGCTCTTACGTATTTAGTGATGCAGCTACTTTCCTTGCCTTCCTTTTGGTTATAGTATATCTTGGTTCATTATTTTAAGAACTGTGAAAAATTGTCTGAAAGCAACTTTAAAAAAAATCTCTCAAGACTGTGGCTGAGGTGGCATCCACCCACATCTTATTTGCCATTGCATTCATAATTAATTAATATGTAAGGGATGGCTGCTTTCAGCACTTGTGAAATCATTGCAATTAAAGACTGAGACTGTGGCTCACCTACTATGTATGATACAAGATGATATGAATAATGTTCATGAAAGGTTTTAAAATAACAGGATAACTTTAAATACAGCTTTAAACAAAATGGCAACACGTAGAATCACATATAGTATCACATGGAAAAGGAATAGTTTTATGACATGTTGAGGTGTTTATTTCAATTAGTAGATCCAAGTGGGGTGTAATCTGGAGTCCAACTAATTGGGTCAAAAGCAAATTGGATTTGTTGACATATGTTTTCTAGTTGCTGACATCTTATTCTAGCATCTGGACCAAAGTTTAATGACTCTTACAGAGCTGATTGCCACCATATTTTAATTTAAGCAGAAAAAGCCAGATGAAAGTGTGTCTAAAAAAATCAAAATAAATCAAAATAAATAAATTCCTGAAGTTCCATTGATAATTACCACCAGTCTATCCTTGTTCCTTGCTTGCTGGACCTACTCAAGAGAGAGGGCTCAGAGTTTTCTTTTTTCATCTATGAATCCTATTTATTGATGTCTACCTTGCCTTCTGATAAATGAAGAGATTATTGGGGGTGAGGGGGAGGAACCAGAAGCAGCTTGACTGGCATTCAACTAAAGCAAAAGATTGGTAGAGATTTTTTTTTCTGTGTCTGGTCTAGGAATAGGTCAGTGTTTCTCAACCTTGGTAGCTTGAAGATGGGTGGACTTCAACACTCAGAATCCCCCAGCCAGCAGCGCTGGCTGGGGGATTCTGGAAGTTGAAGTCCACCCATCTTCAAGCTTCCAAGGTTGAGAAACATTGGAA